CTGCCCAGGGATCCCGGCAATCGTAGGTTCTGCCCGAGCTGTCGTTGAGCAGGGGAATAGCCCGAGCGGTTGAAGAGGCGGTCCTTGGCAGCTTCCACACTTCGCAAACACTCTTCCCATTCCGCTTGTGAGGAGATGCCCGCCTGGTTCCCTGCCTTGATGAAAGTCCCCTTGGCTAAACCTCCATGTCGCTCCGCGCGCCCGTTTTGCCACGGAGCCCGAGCGCTGATAGTGCGCACTAGCCCTCCATGTTCTGCAGCTCCCTGGGCAAATGATCCTATGAATTCCCTTCCCTGCTCCATCACAATCATCTCCGGCATGCCGAAGGTCCTCACCCAACTCCTTAGAAATGCCATCCATACGCTGTCGGACATCATGTCGGGGACAGGTTCCAGCATTTGATAGCACGTTCCCCAGTCAATGACGTTGAGGACCGGCTTCTGCTCCTTGGGGTTGATGCCTGGGAAGAACATAATGTCTACTTCTTTTTATTCCTGTTCGCAGTGCTCGCGCTTGAACTCCTTCTTGAGGTAATTGAGCACCTCGGGTCGGGCTCAAGACATTCGCATCGCCCTGTGGAAGTCCTGGATGCTGGGATGTCCCAAGTTAACATGCAGCTTGCGAATCAGGCTTCTCTCCTTTCGGGACACTCCACTGAGATCTTCTCCTTCCTGTTCTCCTTCACCACCTCCGATGTCCTGAGCCAGACATCACGAACGTAATTTCGCCATTTCGCGCTCCCCAGTGGCACGGCGCCACGCAAACGCACTTCCCACCAAGGCTGCACAAATCCCCATGGCACTGCAACATCACGAACGTACTTTGGCCAGACGGTCTGTCCACACATGACACCGCCAAAAACCGCCAATGGCCAATGATCCTGCTCACCAGCGACACGCCGCGTTTACGCCAGCATGTTTCGCGCTCCCCAGTGGCACGGCGCCACGCAAACGCACTTCCCACCAAGGCCGCGCAAATCCCAAGGGCACTGCGACATCACGAACGTACTTTGGCCACACGGTCTGTCCATACACTAGAAGCAAAAATCACGATACCACTAATCACTAATCATCCCGCTCCCCAGCAACACGCCGCGTTTACGCCAACGCGTTTCGCGCTCCCCAGTGGCACAGCGCCACGCGAACGCACTTCCGCAGCGGGTTGCGCGCACACCGGACAGAGTCGCACTCTCGTATATGCATTCCGCGCACTCGACACGCACGATCTCCGCAGAGGCTTGCGCGGGCCTGGGACAAATCGCACTCTCGCCTGCATTTCGCGCTCGCGACACGCACAATCTCCACAGAGGGCTGCGCGCACACCAACAGAATCGCCCTCCGCAAAGGGATGCGCCGGAACCGGACATATCACACTCTCGCCTGCATTTCGCGCAATCGACATGCACGATATCCGCAAAGGGTTGCTCCGGAACCGGACATATCGCACTCTCGCCTGCATTTCGCGCAATCGACACGCACGATCTCCGCAAAGGGTTGCGCCGGAACCGGACCAATCGCACTCTCGCCTGCATTTCGCGCACTCGACACGTACGATCTCAATCTCCGCAGATGGTTGCACCGGAACCGGACAATCGCACTCTCGCGCCTGCATTTCGCGCACTCGACATGTACGATCTCCGCAGAGGGTTGCGCCGGAACCGGACAAATCGCACTCTCGCCTGCATTTCGCGCACTCGACACGCACGATCTCCGCAGAGGGTCGCGCGGGCACCGGACAAATCGCACCTGCATTTCGCGCACTCCATGCGCACGTTTTGCGCAGAGGGTTGCATTTTCGGTTGACGCTGTTCGTCCCACCCTCCGCCTTTAAAGAGAATTTAAAAAGTGGGGGAATGTTTTTCATTAGGATATCTCCCGTGGAAGTTTTCAGGCTTATGCTTACACTTGCATACTTACACTCGCATGCTTACACTTGGATGCTTACACTTGCATACTTGCACTTGGACGCTTTCACGCTTACACTTGGATACTTACACTTGCATACTTGCACTTGGATGCTTTCACTTGCAAACTTCCACTTGGATGCTTTCATGCTTACACCTGGATACTTACACTTTGCATACTTGCACTTGGATGCTTTCACTTGCAAACTTTAACTTGGATACTTCAGTGCCATTGTAAGTATAGAAGTGTAAGTGTTCAAGAGATTTTCCGGAAGAACCCTTCACAATGCTTCGGGGAACAAAGCGAAAGGGGAAAGCGCCACGAAAAGTCTAAGACTTCGAGAAAAAACACCAAATACAATGCGTTTCACACGCTCAACTGCTCGACGGCCAAGCGTCTCTGGCTCGCTTTGCACCTTGAGCCGCACGCCATTGCCAGCCCAGCCAATGGGCTCCTCGTAGCCCATAGGATACCAATTCAACGTCCGTGTGCGGCCGCCCTGAAAGCTGGTGGCCGCGACACCGCGCAGGTCACGCGAGGCCAAAATGCAATTCCTCGCAACTGGAAGGTGAGACCAATGTTTGAGACACACAAATGGGAACAAGAAGCTGCTAGGGACCCCTGGCATCGCTACTAGGAGCAAGGACGCTGCTAGGGGCTCGTGGCCGTACCACTAGTAGAAAGAAGCTGTGGGTCAAAGCTGGCAATCCTTGGTTGACTACCAAATGTACATGGAATGTACCCATGAAGCCGAGAATTGACCAGTTTCCACCGGTTTCCAAAAACCAGCCATATCCCCCAGTCCACCACTCTTCCCAGCCAAGCTGCAAGAGTGTGCTCTTTCCCGCATTGGAGCGGCCCACCAATGCAATCTCTGGACCAGCTGCTTGTGGCACTTGCCTGCAGCTTGACTCACGCAACAAACCGATCCGAACCGACTCCGATAAAGAATGCCATGGTGTCGGCTTCGTGTCCATCAACGGGTGCACAGGTCCCCCAAAGCAACGAAACACCCAAAAACTCCCTCACACAAATCACCGCTTCCGCTTCCCAAGTCCCACGCCACGTGGCCAAAGGTATCTGACTTTCGGGCGCTTCCCCAGCAAAGGCTCCGCCGGCCCCACGGACGGCTCCGCGGACGGCTCCGCGGACGGCTCCGCGGACGGCTCCGCTGAGGGCTCCGCATGGACGCACACAACGCGACGTGGAAAGGAGCCACGGCGTTGGCGCCGCAACCGCCCGGTGATCCGCAGTGAACTCGCTACGACCTTCGGGCGGTGCACTCGGACGCGGCGCGTGAAAGGTCAAGCAAAAACGAGCGATCAAGGTCACGAACCTGACCAATTCCAGTCAGAACCCCCCCATTCTGGCAATCTCCAAATACAAAATCGAAGAAGCCTCTCCAGAATCCAAACCCGTTACAATGTATAGGGACACCCAATCGCTCTTTTCAGCGAGCTTTGTTGGTATCGTGTCTAGGTGGCGCCTCTTTTGAAGTCCTGTGCGCCACCTAGCAACAACAGGCAACCTCAAACACAGGCCGCGGAAAGGTGGTGTCAGCCGTTGGTGGTGGGGAGCTTGAGCATGGCGAAATCGCTCTGTCGTGTTCCTAAAAGCCAGGGACATTCAACTGCTCTTTTCAACCAGCTTTGCTGGTATCGTGTCTAGGCGGCGCCTCTATTTAGGCCTTCTGTGCCCAACTGGTCCTGCCGTTGCGACTCCACGCGGCGTGTGTTTGAATAATAAGTTCTATAAGCCTTTTCGAGAATTTTTGCTTTTCTGAAAACCTGACACTCATGGCCAGCACTTCTGGGAAACTCTCCATTGCCAGCAAAATCAACTTGAGGAAGATGGAATGTCAGTCATGAAGGCGCTAGCAGCCACCTCTTGTAAGTATATGTCCATGACCTTCAGCAAAAGCCAGCGGCCGCGCCGCCCCACAAGTCACAAGCTCTGCAGATTCCGAACCTGGTCGAAATGATGCCGCCTGAGCATAGACAAGCCCACCTTTTCTTGAGGAGGCGTCCGTGGCATAGACTCTTCTGTCAGAGGAAGGCACAGCAATTTTTGAAGCAACCAAAGGACCAAGACAGGCCAATACAAGTAGCTCTTCAGCAGCTCCACAGGGAAAGGGCCTCAGCTTAGACTCACTCGGAGAGAGCTCTGTAGCCATGACTTGAAACAACTTGTTCATGTGGGCAGTCACAGGTCTCCGGTAAAGAAGACATGAAGCCCATCCGAGGTACAGTGGCGCCCAAAGACACAATGCCCTGCCTCGCAAGTTTCTCGCTCACCTCAGCACCAATCATCTTGTAATTAAGGAATTAGAAACCTCTTTGTCATCGGATCATTGGCTCCCTGCTACCGGAAGAGCTCCACATTGTCCTCCACCAATGGCACGCAAGCGTCTAGTTCCATTTATACACCTTCTCCGGGTAAGGGATTCCCAGTCCCAGGCAAAACACTTGGAGGCGAAGCCGTGAAATAAAAGCTGCCCGGGCTGTTGATTTCTCCAGCCAATGACCTGTAATCAGCCGCCGTCTCGCAGACAACTGCCTCAGTAAGGCCCTCGGCTCTGACAACGAGGTACGTGGTGTTGGCAAGATCACAAGGCGAGGAAGGTCTTGGCTTTCCCACACGGCCCTCCAACACAAATCTCCCCCGGCAGCCTGCAGTCCAGGCCCTCTCAGCTCGCTGCCTGTAGGAAAGCTGCCCGCCACGAAGGCTAGCGCAAAGATGCGCCAAGGCGTAGAGCCGCACCAGAAACGTCAGATCTCCCCCGCCAAGAAATTGTAGGTTGAAGAAGTGAAATTGGTCCGGGCCGGGCTCGAAGCACGAGGGGCCGCGTTGACAAGAAGCTATCCACATGGTACTTGCCTCTTTCCAGCTCTACCACCCTCCTCTCCAAGCTATCCACTCGAAGCAACAACTGCTGAACTTGTAAACGAAAGAAGCTCAACAGCCAAGTCACTCATGCAAGTATGCAAGGAGCCGTCCAAGTCCTGGAGAACGGCCTTTGGGCACGCGGTGCCGGAGAGCCCACTTCAAAGGGTGGGTGCAAGGAGAGGAAGCCTGACCGGAAGGCCAGGAAGAAAGCCAAAGTAAAGCCTGCAAAGAGACCAATGCCAAGCCCAGCAAGTAGTGAAGGAGCCAAGGAGGTGAAGGCTGGAGGCCCACAATGCACAGGGCAAGCTAGGCCCCACCAGTTACTCTCTACCCCTGACCTCACCAGATCCAGAAAGGACCTCAACGAACAGGCTGCGGGCATCAGAGCTTGAGCATGGCGAAATCGCAATATGTAATTATTGAGGACAACGTCTCCATACGTCTCCATGACCTCTTCAAACCTTACAACCAAACACTATCTGAGAAGTCATCAGAAGTCCTCCTGGTCTCCTGGAACAAGTTCCTGCAGGCTCAATGAACGCACTTCCAAGTCCACAGAACTTCTCCGCCCAAGTCCATGGAACCTGTAGAACATCACCGAGACTTATTCTGTAGACCGGTGTTCTCCCATACCATTCATACCTTCTTGGACATTCTCCGAGTTCGATTTCTGAACCAAAAGGTGCATGCAGGACACCCAGGCAGCCCATTGTCCACTCTTTCTGGAGCTTTTCCATGGACCCACCGCGGCACCGTGGACCGCGCGACCAGCTGCGACCTCCGAAAACGCCGCCGGTCCAGGAGGGCCCGCTGCTGGGCCCAGCTGCGCAGGTGGCGGCGAGGTCAGCATGGCTCGGATCATGTTCAATCCGCACAGCGTGTCAAGCGTGTTGCTGTGTTGCACGTGTGTGATGTGTCCTGGTAGTTGAACATGGTCATGGTTGAGTTCTGGTTGGCACGGCCAATCGTGGGGGTTCAAGCCAGACTCTGCTACCTCATGCCATTCGATTTCGAGGTTGACTCACTTGCATGAGCTCCGTCGGCGGCCAACTCCCTCGACCAAACCAGGCAACCCACGACTCACCCAACAGCTCCTGAGCTCGGCGCATCGCCCTGCCCGAAGGTCTGGCCGTACTTCGTGAACCTCGGCGGTTCGTGTGGACGAAGCGCCCCATCCCGAGAGGCCACCGTGCGATGTTCCACCATCAACGCCCACATCCTGTAGAGCCACCTGAATCACTTGTTTGACTTGGGAACCATGAACACGTCCCTCTTCTTGGCTTTTCACGGACCCCGCGGATGGATGTCTCCCAGACCGCATCTTTTCCCTTGGACGCCTGGCACCTGCCAAGGCACTGCCCCGCGTTGGACTTCGTGGCCGTCCCGCCATAGCCGAAGGACCACCGGTCGGTTCCTCGGCAGGCCGGAGGAATTGGACAAATGGACCTACACTCTGACTCACTAACATGGACGTGGAAAACCACGTGTTTGTAGAGGAAAGTAGTCTTCCAAGTTAAGTGACCATTGTCCACTTCCATGTTAGTGAGTCGTTGGGCCAGCTGGGGCCCCTAACCCAGCTTCATGGTCGCTTCAGCGCAGGACCAACCTGGTTGAGGCTGAACGAGCACGAGCTGCTCAAGTGCCAACAGGAAGGTTCAATGACTATATAAGGAAACATGGCGCGGGTGACGGCAAAGGGAACTATGAAAGAACTGGACGCTTGTCAAAAGCATGAGGGATGATGGGGCATGCTTGAGCTGCTGCGCTGGAAACCTGCGCCTTCCGCGTCTCGTGGTCCACCAGGGTGCGCGTCTTCCAGGTGTCTCTTCCCAGTGAGTTTTAAAATGACGGGCCCCCACCCTCACCAAATGGGCTCTTCATCTAGTGCCGCCTTAACTGTGATCTCATCTAGCGTCTTGGCATTCTGCCATTGTCTGCAGGCAGAGGGTGAATTTGAGGCCAGAATGATTATAATGTAGACATGTAGACATGTAGACTCTTGATTTATACACCCCCCATATGAAGAGGATGTTCAAATGGGGGGGGGTTGCGTCCTCAAGAGTCGACATTACTGCGCTGGATGGCCTGCCAACCGCTCACATCCCAGCTCTTCACCGCACCGACAGGGCGACCCAGCCCACGCGTAGGTTCCCACCACTTTCGTTCCACACCTGCCGCTGGTCTCAAACACTGCTTGCGATGCTGAGCGAATGGTCGTGTGAATTCATGTGAGAAGGAGCAGCTCAACCATGACTGCCATGACTGCAATGCTCAAAAAGTTCAACTTGACAATGCTCAAAACATGACTTCCTCCACAAACACATCACGCCGAAGAGCCAACTCACCGGCGGTGTCACGTATGTGTCACATCATGTAGACTCTTGATGCGGTTTCAGAACGAAACAAGCATGAAGCGTAAAACCGTAAGTCACACACAAAATGGGGTGGGTTGAGATACAATCAACCGTCTAAGCTACATGACCCAACCAATACGAAGCAACAAGACCAGGCGACGTCTGGCGATCTCTCATCCGATCGGGTCGGCATTCGGTCGCGCACGCAGAAGGCCCAGCGCCCCGAGTTGGCCACGCCATGGGTGGCACGCACACCGACCTGAGCCAACAGCAAGAGATCAAACTCCTGGGAATTTGAAGGGGTGACCAACACATGAGAACACGCGGACTTTTTAACAAGTCGTAGGGTTGGTCACCAGGTCTCAGAATGTCTTGAGGTGCTCTCATCCCACAAGCCCCACGTCTGCGTCTCGGTTGTCAGGAGCTGTTTTGGTCATTTGTGTCATTATACATGCCGGGCTAGTGAGTGACCATTCGTGCTTGTTCTGCTTGGCCACTCAGCCTTGCAACTTTGCAGTCAATCTCCACTCAATGCCCAATCAATCATGCTGCGGCAAATCACGTTCAAAGAAACAGAGCGCCTACCTGATGTGGCTTTAGTTTCACAACCACCTCTCATTCTCAATGCTTGCTTCCAGAAAGGAGGCCCTGCCGTTTCCCTCCACCAGCGCCAGGCATCCCCACCCACTGTCCACCCGACTTTCGCTTCGCCTGGCAACCAACTGTTTTGCATGGCGAACCGGACAAAGAAAGAGGGATCGAATTCACAGATGTCCGCATCCCAGCCTTTTGCCGACCGTTGCTTTCGCCTTGGAAGTCTAAAGCAATGCTTCAGCTGCTCCAAGCTGATTGGTGGATCTCTACGTGCGTTGGGAACAGAGCTCTTGGTGTCTTGGTGCGTTTCAAGTAGTGTCTTGGGGAAAAGTGGCGCATGAGAGTACAGGGGGGTCACTTCTTTACCTACACGGACTGACAGACTTCTACACACAAAGGATGGTCACTTTTGCCCAAGTGCTCAATGAAAGGGCAAGCAGTTGCAATGGATGACTATGCCTACGGCCGATGGATTTTCTTCAACAAGGGCAACCACATTCCAGCAAGATCGGGTAAATCAAAGGTGTCTGACATGAAAATTATCCAAACAAAGGCAAGCACCCAGCAGCGCCAAACCATGCTCTCGATCAGCAGGATTTAAGCGCAGTCCAGTTGACACCATGGCAGTCTGGCGAAGTCAGGGTCCTCTGCGCTGTGTGCATCGTGATATGGGGTTGTGAGTTGTTGTGATCACCGGTCTTGTTGAACGAAAACGCGCCAGCCCAGCTGAACAACAGGACGAGTAAGGCTAGTAAGGACTAGTGACTAGTAAGGCCCAACTGCGGCCGACCATCTCCACACCGGTTGAGGCGGTTTTTTGTTTGGGGCCCATCCTGGGCTGGTCTCTTGCGACCTGGACTTGGTTCGAAGGGAGTTCGATATTCTTCGGCTCAATCTCACGGCGGCCCAGCGGTTGGCGCGCTCTTTCAAAGTCCAGTGCAGTGCCACCAGCTGTGATGAGGAGCTCTTGTGCTCACATGTCCTTTGTCCCTTCCACGTCAGCAGCTGAGCCGAAACGCATAGGCAAAACGTAGACTCTGCTAGGATCATTCCAGAGTTGATCCAGAAATCTGGTGCTTTTTTAAAATTAACAATTGGGCAATACAGTGTCAAGAGGCAATACCAAAAGGCAATACAGTGTCTTTATATATATATATATACAAAAATACGCATACCAAGAGGCAATAAGAATATTGTGTATGTTATTCCGTTTGCATATGTGCATCTGTAAACGGACGCATGAAGACCGAGATGCTTGGCAATCACTTCGGCTCCGCCGCTCCGCCCCCCCAGACGAGCCGCGCCAGTTTTTCTGCGAAGCTGCTTGGCATGGCCTCCGCCTCAGCAGTGAATCGGATTGGCTTCACTGTTGGTTGATACAGCCCCCCCACAGTCGAATGGTCCTTTTTGGGGGTTCTTCATAGTCAGCATGATACAGTGGGGCTAGAGGGGTGTGAGAAGCCTCATGAGCGGTTGCGAGGGCTCGTGGATTGTCAATGGATGATCAGCAGAACCACATACCAACAACAGATCCAGAGTTCCACAGCCCAAATGAAGTGCACACATGCCAGCAGAACCGGGTTCCATAGATGGTTCGGATCAGAGATGCGCATCGATCTCGCGGACTACTTAGTGACTTAGTGACTCGTGACTAAGCATCAATGAGGCTTTTGTGGCTTCCTCAGCTGCCAATGAATGGCCTCACGGTGCCCAAAACCCCGTTTTACCCTGGTAGGTGGACCCCGTAGTCCTTTCCGTTCATCTGTGGTCAACCAGGGTCCCCCAGTTTTCACCCACAGCCTCGGCTCTCTGGCAATGAGAAGAAAACATAGGGAAAAAACGAAACGACGCGTTCTTTTCGGATAGCCCGCTCGACAGAATCGACATAGGCCCATGCTGTACTGCATGAAAAGTGGGCCAGGCCTTGCGCCAGCAAAGCCACAAATGGATCATGCTGACTTTTTCGGTGCACAGAAGCCAGAGCGCACTACTTGGCACGCTCTCGCGGCAACACTTGGTCTCTTGGTTCTCAGAGCAGCGGGGCTCCTTCAGAGCTTTCTGCTGCAACAGAAACGAGCTTTTCGAGCTTTGCCACCTTTTCCTTCAAGGATTCACTTTCCTCCTTCAAGGTCTGGGTGTCTTCTTTCAAGGACCTGCACTCTTCTTTCAAGGACCGGCACTCTGTGGTCACAGATTGGATCTCATTCTTCAAAGATTGGTTTTCCCTGAGCAAAGCCAACATATGTGATCCCATCTTGGCTGCCATGTGCTCTTCCACCTGATCCGCTCGCCCCCGCTCCCCACAAAGCTCGCAAGGCACGGGACGCGCTTGGCACTCCTCCTGGTCTCCCAGCGGTGGAAAGTGGTGGAAAGCGGAGTTGGTTGACCTCTTGCACCCAACCAGTTTCAACATGTGCGTTCATGGTATAGTATAGCCCGTTCCCTGGGCCCAGTGGGGCCCAGGGATGATGATGGTTAGTAAAGTCCTTTCTCTAATAATGCTTTACCAACTGTTATATACAGGTAATGGGACACCCCCAATTCCAACAAGAAGACCCACCATATGCCATATGAGAACCATCCGTTCGGAAGCCTGGCGAAGCAAACTACAAAAAAGGTTGGAATCTCCAGGACACCCATTGACACCTCACTGACCCGAGACTGACCCGAGTGACCTGGTGCCAGGACTTGGATGTTCCCGTCGCTTGGACTTTCGACCGCACCTCGATGGGAGGAAGTAGCACAACAAATGTAACAGTGGCGTGCCCAGTCACCAAAACAGAGCCTCCATAACACTAGGTTAGTGTATGTATATACATAGTATAGTAATGTATAGTATAGTTAAACTCTGGCTGACATATTTTAACCGCAAATCCCTTCTCCAGAAACAAATGAGAGCTCATGGCCCCGGTCGACGAACCATACCCCACCCATAAATCCTGATCACCGGCGAAACGGCATTCATTCCACATCGAATCTACGTCGCTTGAGTCGGTCCTTCTCATGGATGGAGATCTGGTCAGCCAACACCTCCTCACCACAATGGCAGCATGTCACTGCGCGCTTGGCACAATGGGACACATGCGTCTCCTTGTCGCCCAGACGGAAGGTCTCTTCGCAGCCCAGGGGGCATCGGACCATGAGATTCAAGATCTTCCGTCGGTCACGAGGTGCCTTGACAATGGTGTCACCTGCTTCCCTGCAAACTGGACAGCTGGGGTTCTCTGCAACCCATCTAGTCCAGCATAGCTCGCAAAAAAGGTTCCCACAGTCATGTGCTAACGCGTTGCGGGCGACCGACAAACAAATGGCGCATTGCATGCTAGTGGCTTCCGCGGGGTCCAGCCACTGCTCATCATGACCAGCTTCAAGACTCTCCGACGGAGCAGCTGCTGGAGCAGCTGCTGGCCGCTGGCCGCTCGAGCTTGGCTCACTCGCGGCTTCCGCCGCAGTGTCGGGCTCGACTGCACCCAGGGGGGGCCCAAAGGTTCTCCCACTGCCTTGTGGTGAACCAGCCCTCACGGACTTCCCTGACGACATAGGTGTCACCCACAGAGAAGGCCAGCGTCCTTCCAGGGCATCCGGAAAAGCTGACGTCTCCAGCTTCTTGTGTGAACCTCACGCGATCCCCCACACGGATGTGGCTCTCCAGCTCCGCGACGATCAAATCATAGTTGCCCTCCTTCCCCACCCGATAGCTGTTTGTTCGGCCACTGTGGTCCCACTTCACAGTCACCCAGCCTGGATCTGAGTCAGCCTCAGTGGTGCCTAAGCCTCCTCCATCCTGGTCACCCCAATCCCAATCAGGACCTCTCCTCACACGGATACCCGCCTCTGCAGTCCGTAAGACCTCGCCTGGAACGGGGCGTGCGTAGGGTGGGGAGGTCGCATCCACGATCAAATCATATTTGCCTCGTTCACCCACCCGGTAGCTGTTTTCACCACCCAAATCCCAGCGCACTCGCACCCACCCTTCTTCCGTGTCGCCTTGGATGGTGGTGCCGAGGCCTCCATGATCCTGGGGTCCCCAGTCCCAATCAGGTCCCCTCCTCACGCGGATGCCCAAGTGTGCTGATTTCAACACTTCTCCAGATCCGGAAGGAGTAGGAGTAGGTGGAGAGAAGTCGATGACCAAGTCATGACTTCCTTGTGCACCGACCCTGTAGTTGTTGGCCCTTGTGGCGCGGTCCCACCTTACACGAACCCAGCCATCTTCATCAGCACCTGGCACCGTGGTGCCTGGACCTCCTCCATCCTGATCCTGCCACCTCCAATCAGGCCCTCTCTTCACTCGGACGCCCAACTGAGCGGACTTCAGAACTTCCACGGGCTGCGCGGAGTCGATGATGAGGTCGTAGCTCCCTTCGGCACCGATTCGGTACTTGTTGCGCCGGCCTGCATCCCATTTCACCCAAACACAACCATCATGATCATCCCCAGAAAGGGTAGTGCCAGGACCTCCTCCGTCTTGGTCACCCCACTTCCAATCTGGTCCTCTCCTCACTCTGAGTCCACTCTGTGCAAACCTCAGGACTGCAGGCATAGGATCTCTTGCGACCATCAGGTCGTACTCTCCTTGTGCACCTACTCGGTAGTTGTTCTCACCACCGGCATCCCATTTCACGGCCACCCAGCCCTCGGCATTGGCGCCTTCCTTCGTGGTGCCTGCACCTCCTGCGTCCTGGTCATCCCACTTCCAGTCAGGGCCTCTCCTGACTCTGACACCCAGCTGAGCAGATCGGAGCACCTCACCCTCAGCCGCCATCTAATCAGCTACAATTGAGCCCAACACTGGCCCTCGGCCCGGCTTGACATCAACCTCAAAAAGATCAGGAGACCCCTAAAGAACCTCCACCACCCGGTGAGAAAAGTGAATGAACACGCAGCGTTGATGATCTTTTGCGACAGGCCCACGTGGAGTCCCTGATCTCTTCCTTCGCTGCACTCCATCTGAGGCGCCCACCGATCTTGGCACCTGAGCGACGAAAATGCACAAAGTTCATAGATGTGTTTGTGCAACATGAACCTTCACAGGAAGCTTCATTGTGTGTGTGTGTGTGGGCGCTCGCTTCCTCAAGGCCCATAAGAAAAGGAAAATGTGCGAACATCCAGCGGGTGGAAGAGCCTCTATTCTGATGCATGCCCATGCTCAGATACATGCGAAGGCAGAAAACATCTTAGTCACTAGAAACGGGAATGGGTGCTCGATGCCTCTTTCTCGGCTTTAGATTGTCCCATCATCTGCCTACGCTGCGCATGGCTCGTGATCGTTTTTTAAGATGTCCACTTCAGGGGGGCCAACTCCATGGATTCAGTTTCATCAGAAACCACTTCCAGGATATGTTTCATATGTCTATGCTGTGCGGCTAACACATGCCAACTCAATAGGGTTTCTTGTACTGTCACACCGCATGCCCCACCGCAACGCCTGGCCCACCTCCGCCCCCAAACAGAAAAGAACACGCAGCTGAAAGGGCATGTTTTGGCCGGTTTGGGCTGCGCTTCTGACTCGAGGCTACCACCACTCGTTGTTGTTTTTGGTATAGTGATCCCCAAATAGATAGTGGCATGGATGCACAAATACATGTTCATACATGTTCTACGTGGGGATCTATATGCTTTACTTATTGTCTATCCATTTGAGGGTCTATAAGAATAAGTCTTCTACTAGCCACATGCTTCTGGCACACCTTTTTTTTCGGTCCATTCGCAAAGTTTCTAGGGATGGCAACTGCCAACGAGCAAAAAGCGTTGATCCGTCACATTGCAGACTCACACATGATCCTTGTCCCGTAGATTGAGTGGTATGGGGCTCGGGTACGGTAGGCTTGCTATATACCTCAGGGTTGGCTGTGCGTGTACCGTTTTTGGTTGGGACGGTTCCAAAATCTAGAGTCTAGAGCCTGCTTAAATGTTGCTCGTTCTTCTCCACGCCTTTAGCAGAGCATGGTTGGGGATCTAAGCAGCATGCTGAATGCGCAAACTGCGCAAACGTCTGCGGATATGGAAGTCCATGCAGCAACCCCTCTCGGCAGAAAAAAACATGAGCTGGGCAGTGTGTTGCACAGTGCCCTGCTGTGCTCTGACTTGTGTCGACGGAGGAAAAACCATCAAAATCCGTCCTTTTTGGTGGCCAGCCATTCATGAACCGAGTGTAAGTTGGTGTAAGTCATCAGCTTAGTGTGCATCAGCATCTTGCAAACAGAAAACCCCTTGGAACATGCATTGGTAGTCTGGTCACCTGAGTCACCTAGCAGTTCTCACAATGAATTTGGCTCAAGCTTTCAGAGTCTGGGACTGCCTGGATTTCAGCCACCTGCTTCACTTGCTTCTGAAGCTCATCGACTCGAAACTCCAAGGCTTGGCTCTTCTGGTGAAGACTTTGGTTCTCCTTCTTCAAGCTTTGGTTCTCCTTCTTCAGGGCTTGGCTCTCGTTCAGTAGGGCCAACATGTGCGACCCCAGGTTGGAGAGCAGGTGAGCTTCCAGCTGGTCCAGCGGAACCTGCTCCCCGCACAGGTCACAAGGCACCAAGCGTGCTGGGCACTCGTCCTGTCCCGGTTGGATGGACGTCCACCTGACCTCCTTACCTTTGGGCTTCCAACAACCCAACAATAGAGAAAAACAGAGGGGAAACGGTCCACCAGCGGAGGCTCACGGGGAGACTTTTGGGGTCCACTGAACACATGTGGCGCCGCGGCTTCACGATGTCAAGCTTTGATTTGGTGTGAGCTGCCAGGCGTCCGCTGAACAGCAGGAGGGGCCTCGTAAGGCCCATGTCAGAACTGCAAAATGGTTGCATGACTGCTTGGCCACCGGTCGCTCCGGTGAATGGCAAAAAATAGCACGATGTGAAAAGAGGTTGCGTAGTAGGGGTGGACGGAACCTAGCCAAAAAAAATATACTTGAGGCCAAGGGGGGGGGGCGAAAGCTAGCGCTCCAGAATGGGAAAGTGGAGGGCAGCGAGGTAGGAAAAAACACGGCGCTCTTTTTGGAGGCAGGGGTGAAGAGTCCTTTATATGTGGCTCTTTGCCCGGATCCCCCTGCGAGAGAAGAGAGAGAGAGAGAAGAGAGACGGAAAGACGAGAGACAGAGAGGAGAGAGAGAGAGAGAGAGGAGAGAGAGATGAGAGAGATGAGAAAGAGATGAGAGAGATGAGAGAGATGAGAGAGATGAGAGAGATGAGAG